TGCAGAAATCTTCTTAAATTACAATGCCACTTCAGAAAGTATTAGGTTGGTGCAAACATAATGTCGTTTTTTGACGTTAAAAAATACGTCAAAAAACGACATTATTACGTCATTATTTTTGCACCAACCTAATAACAATAAATGGTTCTTCACGGTTTCATTTTTTTTATAATTCCCGAATAGCCACGTCTTCTGGAGAAATATATTGGAGTGTTTCCCTGTCATATTAATCACAGTTTTGTTTCAGACTTTTCCCTCTCCTAGACTGGCTAGCAGCATAGACTGCCCCCCCAGTAACATCAGTCTAATCTGCTATAGAGCAGAGTAGGTTTGGATGGGGAAGAACAAATCTATTTATGCATTTCTCAAGGATATTAGTAGAAAAATGAATGAGAAGGACTAGGACGGAATTTGAACTCGGATTGCTGATTACATTTTCCACTGCATTACCTGAGACTCAACAGAAATACTGATTACAAAAATATGACTGGGAAGGAACAGTGAATAACTAAGAACTGTGCAAACTTGTATTGTTCAAAGGAGCACTCACGCGCTAGTCTGTTCTCCATAGTGGCAGGTCTTACCAAATGAATGGCGAATATTATTTTACATTTGAAGGCCGGTCTTGAAATATAATAATCTTGTTGGTAATTAATAACATTGACAGCGCAGATGGTAAGAAGTTTTTGCTGTTTGTTTTTCAAATTCGTTGTTGCTATCAGCTCCAACCTCATCTTTATAAATTATAATATATTGGAAAGATACAAAATTTCCATGGCCACTATGAATCACTAGATACAAAGATCTTTGTATCTAGTGATTCATAGTGGCCATAGAAATCTTGTATACATGCACATCATCGAATTTTAGGTGCCCTTGCTTCGAGAGTCATATCGAAATGGGATCAATGAAGTCACATCGTAACATTTTAATAATACATCTTTGACCCAATAATTATGCAATTCTTTTATCTACACAACATTATCAACCTGTCTATATTTCTGAGATTAGGTATTATGTACACTATTTACATTGTTCGGACAATTGTCCTCAGCTTTGTCGCCATATTTATTACAACGTTCCCCCAGTGAGCGAAATAAAGGATTCAGTTCGACATTCTAACCACCTGAAGAAAGCCGGCGCGTACAATGACCGAAACTTTGTAATAAATATGGCGACAAAGATGAGGACAATAGTCCGAATAATGTAAATAGTGAACATTATCGACCATTAGAAATTTATATTTCACACTGCTCCCAGGTCTTTTGAACAAGAGTAGAGGTTTATTCCTGTTTAGGATTGGGTTTCAGATTCCTTCTGAAGTCTCATTCTTTTTCACTTCCAGTAACACCTTCGGTCTTAGAGGCATTATAGCCTTGTTTAGGGTAAATTGGTTAAAAAATAAATTGTATTAATATTAAAGGATCGAATGAGTGAAATTCTTGAAAAATTCTTGAAAATGAGTGTTTGGCTTGGTTTAGCTTGGTTTGGCTTGTGTTACGGCATATCAACCTCAATGGGTTTATTTAATGCCGATAAGATTTTTATTGCTGGTAGTATTTTTCCCAAAAATGTATTGCTGGTAATATTTCTTTTTTCAAAAATTTGTTGCTGGTAATAGTTTTTTACAAAATGTATTGCTAGTATTAAAATCTATTTTTACATGTTTTGACGATAGCTTGTGCATTAACTATTTGCCCATAGCTGGGACCCAAACAGGTGCTACAACTCCCGAGTCAGGGTGGACCTGGGAACACCAGCAATTAAGGGGTGGCTCCACACTCCTCAAAACCTCCTGATCAGAGGCCTTGCTGTTGGGTGTAGATTATCTTCATATCCAGGGCGATTTTTTATCCCGATTGAAAGATTATCATAAACTAAATTTCCGTAAAATCGGAAACATATATATATATATATATATATATATATATATATATATATATATATAAAGATGGGGTTTTAATTTTATTCCTTTAAAATAGAGAATATTGATTTTGTTGCAATGGCGGAAGTTTAAACTGAGTAAGAACTCAAAGAAGGCGTGTGCGGGTAGTTTTACGGTTATCGGGCCATAAATTGAAATTGGCAGGAAGAGTTCAAATTTCGATCTAGTTTGTTGGATTCACTATTCCACAAATCCTTTTGGGAAAGTGTTATGGTAATTTACCCACGAACGCATGGACTCTCCTCACTATAAATAGGAGTAGGTACTGCCTTTTGGAGAGGGAAGTTTCCAGCAGTTAGCTCTGACAGTAGAACTGAACATTCTTGCTGTAACACTCTTGTTTGTATATGTTTGTATTACTGTTTCTGTTAATATATTTGTTTAATTCAATTCTTCTCTTGTGTCTTTATTCCTGTCCCAAACAAGACCACAACAGAAAGAAATAGATTTATTTCTTTCCCCGCTAGCTATGGGTTAAATAGAAGACTAGACTAGGCTATCTAGCGTTGGGTGGTAGCAAGCATAGGAAAATGACTACCATTTCCCTAATGTGGATGAGACGACGGAAAAACCACTTCCAAAGTTGTCATAGTAATTCGCAGAGCCATGATCTTTTACGTCTTGAAAGAATGGCTTAAGTAATAAAATAGACAGGGATCTTTAGACTTTGATAGAAGCCTTTCTTCTAGGAGGATGACTATACTGAATGCCAAACCATAGGTAAAACAACGGGAAAGGACAAAAGGCAGGATGTGTGTAACGAATGCACGGCCGCAATTTTCGACGGATTTGCACCAGAATTTACATGCACATGCTCCAAGTTAGCGGGAAGGCCATCACCGAAGTTGCATTTCCCAACTCCCATCGATAGTGGAAATAATCGAATTTTTCATGTTTCTACAGCAATTTTCATGTAGTTTGCGACCATTTTCTACGGTGAGAGCCTATAGATGGCTGCCACGAATAGGCAGGAAGATTCTATTGGCCAGCGTGAGAGCCAACAGCTGACTGACACGAATGTTAACTAGCATGCTAGCATGCAAAAAAAATCGATAGCTGCATTTGTCACAAGTAGGAAAAATTTAAATCTGCATGGCACTTTACGCCAATTGGCTCATTCGCTTGCTTAAACTCAACGTTGATTCTGATTCCGTAGAACTGGGTTGGGTGTGAAAAAGTATTTGTTGTTAACATTCTTTTTTCATTCGATTTTTCCAGTTACGAGTCCTTTTTTTTAAAGCTGATCGTTTTGTGTTCATTTTGTTTAGTTCTTTTTTCGTAACAGATTTAATGTTTAGTATAGAGCTTGAAAAAAATTCGCAGTGTGAGATAGGCAAAGAAGTAAGGCGTGTAGCAACATCAGCACGGCAAAGGGCACTCCTTTAAAAGGCAAGGAAGGGCAAAAATATTTTAAGTCAAGTGATAGCGATTGCTGTATGAGTCGTACGATTTTTGAATCAAGCACGGGCAACGCCGGGTTATGCTGCTAGTTTACAGATAATAAAGAGAAGGAATCTGTAGAGAGCCATGTTCGTCTACGTCCTGAAGGGACATGGCATGTCTGTTTTTAAAGATGCCTGACAACAAAGCTCTTTTATAAAATAAATATGCTATCCTCAAATCGACCAAGCCACGTGGGCTCTTTTATGTGCGTGTCGAAGCGAGCATGTGCGTGATACTTTTTTCTATCTTTTCTTTTTGAAGACAGAGAGAAACTCTTTGAAAGGGTCCGCTGCCGGCTTGGATTCAGGGACAGAGGAGAGTGGGGTTAAGCCCAAAGTCCCAATTAAGGGGTGTCTGTTTCGACGGGAGGGGATTTGGTACATAAGCTCAAGCAGTCTTAATCTGGCCTAATTGACGTCATTGGATTAAAGTGGATTAACGATCAGAGAAATCGGCAAGGGTCAAAATGATCGCACACGACCAACTGGTGAAAAAAAAAAAAAAATATATATATATATATATATATATATATATATATATATATATATATATATATAAACAGATTGACGTTGGAGGCAGACCGTACAAAAATGAATAATTGGCTCCAGAAAGGTTTTTTACTAAGCATCGTGAATCAGGAAATCGTTTCCTTGGATGAATGAGGAAAAGAGAGAATAGTAAAATAAAAATTCTACAAAAAAAAAAAAAATAAAAAAAATAATCGTCTTTAGAGTGTAATATGCCGATTTGTAGAGGCGGTGGTGGGTTCCACCACCGCTCGGTGGATGATGTAGTTGCGTATTCTCTTGTTCCCTAAACGCTACTATACTGGTAAAGCTCAAGTGTTCAAGCGTCCGTAAGAGGTAGTATTTTAAAGGCTGATTTTTAACCTCCTCAAGTCTTCTTCTTTCACCGTCAACCCCGGTAGAAGTTGGGACGATGACGTGCTGAGCAGTCGCTTCAATCTATCTATCTATCTATCTATCTATCTATCTATCTATCTATCTATCTATCTGCATGTATACAGAAAATCTCCCAACAGTAATGACCTCATAGACAATTATTCTCACCACTGTAGCAGAATAAAATCTGGAATAACTGTAGGATTTTATTTGCGATAATATTTACATGAAGAATATATATATATATTTATATATATATATATATATATATATATATGTGTGTGTGTGTGTGTGTGTGAAAAGTGTATATAAATATAAATATATATATGTATAATTATTTATACATTATATGCGCGGTACTTATTAGAAAGCGCTCAATATCAGAGATAGGCTAACATCAACCAAAATATATATATATATATATATATATATATATATATATATATATATATATATTGGTAACACCTGATCATGCAATGCTAAGAGAAAGGCATACAAAAAATCTACATATATATATATATATATATATATATATATATATATATATATATATATATATATCTGTGTGTGTGTCTGTATATATCTAAACTTCCCTATTCTCTTGTTTACATGCACACACACAGACACGCCCCTACACGCGTGCACGCAAACACACACATATATGAATAAACAACAAACATACGCCGATTTTCTGTGAACCATGCTTATTTATGTTGATCTATCTATCTATCTATCTATCTATCTATCTATCTATCTATCTATCTATCTATCTATTAGGTACCACCCAATATGACGCGTTTTTTCTGAATGTAAGAAAAAAAAAACAAACAAAAAACGCCGCCGCCTGTTTTTTTAATATCTACACACACACACACACTAGTCAGTGAATTGTCCGATTTAAACGAAATCTTCCAGACTTATTCATTAATAAATTAATTCTTTACTAAATAGTTTTTTCATTAGAAAACTTTATGTAAATATTTTTGCGGTGGGTTTTCAACCCTTCCCGTCGCCATTTTGATAGGTCGCCTGTAGAATTAACACATTTCTTTTTATATCACTTCTTTTAGTTTAATAAATTTTAAAATTAGAATAATTGAAAATGACTGGGAGCAATTAGATATTTTATGATATCAAACAGGGAAGAAAATAATTTTAAAAAAAAGCAGTGAATGAACCTCTTAAGTATCGTTAAACTGGTTTTTAATTAATTTCTTTCTTATACTTCTAATGTGGTATACAAGATGAAAATCATTCTACCAAGTTTCATAAAAGCGTATAGAAAAATGTCATATTTAACTATTGGTCATATAAGGTTAAATATTGTTTTGAAATATAAACAGCATTAATGTTTAGATTGCAGTGGTTTTGATCCTTCGAATTTTAAAATATTATATTCGCGATTAAGGGTTGACAGTAGAAGACTACTGTTGTTGACCTATGAACTTGATGGCAGCTCATGGGCTTCTTTTTTATGTGCAGTGCACCTTCAAGACGTGGGCGATCATTGCCCTTCACATCTTCCTGTCCCTTGTAGCTCTTAATAGATTTAGTCTTTTTGTTATTTCTCCCACACCCAGTTCTACCATCCATTTATTCAAGCTCATCAAGTATGTTATGTGCTGCTTTCCTGTGTACCTCTTTCGCTTAATCTGTCCTGTGTGTATCAGGTTTTCCAAGCCTTCCTTCCTCAGTATGTGCCCTAGATATTTCAACCGTCTCTTCCTGATGTTAAGTATAAATTTCCGTTTTGTTTTCATTTTCTCTAAAAATTTCGTCGCTGCTCCAATGTTCAGTTTATGGGCTCCTCAGCATCTTTCTGTATCCCCGATTTGTAATTTGCATTTTGCGATCACCCCTTTTGCTGATAACCAGGCATTTTACCTTTGTAGTTTTTATCTTGTAGTTTATACATAGTCCTTTCTTCTCGCTTTCCTTCGCTATGGTTACTTTGCGTAAATAAACGTTATTTTCGTTATATTTTAGAGGGAAAAAGCGTTACTATTTTTTTTAAAATTCAGTTAATTAATTTACTATTTTAATTCGAAACCAAACTCCTGGATATATATTCGATTTTTAATAAAGTTTTAAAGGAGGAACGAGTGATCGTGCCAATGTTTTAAAAATGATTAAAAACTTTTATTTACATACGTAATTTTATTTTTATTTTTTACAGATTAGCTTTAGGCTGTTATCTCCCAAATAAAACCAACTTCAAAGATATTTTATTTATTCAAAATGGGTTTTTGTTTTCTTTTTCTTTTTTTCTTAGGAAGGCTTTGGCAGTATCTATTATATCATTCTGTCGGATTCCGATCCATATTTGATTTGTATTTGATCCCAACCTATCTATCTATCTATCAATCTATCTATCTATCTATCTATCTATCTTAGACTGTTCATATCTATTTATCTTAGACTGTTCATATCCATCTATCTATTTTAGACTGTTCATATCTATCTATCTATCTATCTATCTATCTATCTATCTATCTATCTATCTATCTGAGACTGTTCATATCTATCTATCTTAGACTGTTCATACCCATCTATCTATTTTAGACTGTTCATATCTATCTATCTATCTATCTATCTATCTATCTATCTATCTATCTATCTATCTATCTATCTATCTGAGACTGTTCATATCTATCTTAGACTGTTCATCTATCTATTTTAGACTGTTCATATCTATCTATCTATCTATCTATCTATCTATCTATCTATCTATCTATCTTAGACAGTTCATATCCATCTATCTATTTTAGATTGTTCATATCTATCTATCTATCTATCTATCTATCTATCTATCATATCCATCTATCTATTTTAGATTGTTCATATCCATCTATTCATCCATAGATCCATCATATCTATCTATCTATCTATCTATCTATCTATCTATCTCAGTTTTTTTTCATATCATTTTATTTCTGGCTAATGTTCTTTTCACTCTTTTATACACAAACACGCTCATGCGTGCACTCATACGCACAGCCTCACTCTCTCTCTCCCTCGCACATACAGACGCACAGACAGACACACACACACACACACACACACACACACACACACATATATATATATATATATATATATATATATATATATATATATACACACACACTCTTTAGCATAGTTCAACATATTCGTGTATGTTAATCCATGTTGGCTATAGCTGTACAAGTCGGATTAAATGACTGTTTGCGAAGTCCTGAAATTCTGAATGAATTTATATTTTAACACAGTCTTCCCGAAAATTACGAAAAATAAAAAAAAAATACCCAGAATCCATATTAATAAAATATTTCCAAAATCATAATTGAGTAAAAATCAGTTACAACACTGGATGCAACATTTTCCCCCGATTATCTGTGGTTAGTAATGAAATAAATTTCAATTAGTTCCTTGATATCTGCAGGAAATGAAAAAGGATCTGCGAGAAAAAAAAAAAAAATTCTGTCAAGTCACACACTAAGAACGGCAATTTTCGAAAATGATAAATCATCATAGTGTAAGGAGAGGAAAAAAAGTCTCTGACATGGATCCTGAATAAATGGGAGAAAAAAAATGCTGATGGCGTCTGGTGGAACGACCAAAATCTTAAAACCGACATAGACATTTAGGGAAATATGTCAACCGAATAATATCTTCCGGAAGGCAAACCAAAGATGCAAACATGAACCCAATTCCAAGCATACACATTAATATTTTTAAAAAAGTACAGATTCAAAGTCTCATATATATATATATATATATATATATATATATATATATATGAAATCGCTGGTAGTCTCCATTCTCCTATATAAATGTGAAACGTGGACACTGTTGGCAGAAACAGAGAGAAGGATCAATGCCTGGAAAAAACTCGTGGTATCTTCTATCGGGAACATAAAACCAATGTGTTTGTGTGGAAAAGGGTTGAAAGTTTCGTTGAAGGTGGACGTAGGAGAAGACGCCAACGTAAAAACTGGTTCGACAATGTCAAAGAATGGACAGGTGTGACTATACCAGAACTGCTGATGGCTGCCGTTGTTAGAAAACCGTTCATAAGAGCTATCCATATTCTTTCATTCCAGTGACTCAATCAGATTAAATTTGGTATTTTCTTACCTGTATCCTGTCCTCCGGCAGGTCTGTCTTCAGAGACAACACTTCCCTGGCATAAACATCCGGGTAATGGGCCTCTTTGAAAGCCTTTTCCAGTTCTTCTAGCTGGTAGCTTGTAAAAATGGTCCTGAAACGAAACAATGCATAAACGAAACTCGTTAGTGTTTGCAGATATTTAGTGGACATAGCTATTTTTGCACTACTCCCTACACAGATAGCCAAACAAAAAAGACAAAGAATTTTTGCCGCCATTTGCATATTTTTTTTATTTTTGTACGAAAAGTACCCCGAAAAGTTCAACATTAAAAAAAATAGTGTCCAGAATTGAAAATGTTGTTTTTCCTCGTCAGAAGACGTACATATTACATCGATCACTTATTAATTAGAAATTTAAAACAAGCCATTGATCGATTAAGGTCTTAGTGACATTACCTATTGATTAAATCATTCGAAATCAATTTTTGATTGCAATCATATAGAGATATATTATCAATTAGAGTTGTATAGTGATCATTTATCGATTAAAATCAGAAACAGATCGTTTAGCCATTTCTATTAGAGAGATCGATCTATTAGAGTCTAAGATATCACTAATCTATTGTAGTCTTCGAAATCAAAGATCGATTAGCCTTAGAGAGATCATCGATCGGTTAGAATCTTAGAGAGACTAGCTATCGATTAAAATCTTATAGATTATCCCATCAATCAGGATTATTGATCGATTAGGTGCATTTCCTTTTTGATTAAAATTCCTCGTATGAAACTAAAGCATCAACCTGAAAACTCGTGCCATGTTCTTAAATAGTCTCATTTCATCAAGACTTTCATATGGATGTCAGGCATGGCGCCTAACCTGTTCAGAAATATATGCAACCGCTTCCTAAGGTCAATGCTGGAAAAAAGGCTCTGAGTCAGTAAACCCTGAGGGTCTTAACAAAAACCATCCTTCTTTGAACATTGTGGACTGGCGCTACAAAGTCACAAAAAAAGTACTGTACCAAATAAGAGAAACCACATCTTTTGTGGACTACCAACAGCAGTAACAACTAAAATGGATGGTACATGTAACTAGAAGAGAAAATAAAGACATAAGCAAACTGTTAATATTCTAAACACCTTCAAAACAAAAGGATAGAAAAGAAACTCCCGTCAGTGCTGGAAAGGGCGATAACTGCACTTGAGAAACTTTTTTTTCCTAATGTTTTAAGAGAAAGATTTTATAAATTTCAACCGAAACCAGTACTGGCTGCTCGGTCAATGAATACCAAATGTTTCCTTGTAAGGAAACGGCTAATGTTACCATTACTATCTGTCTATATCTCTGAGATGAGGTATTATGATTATTTACATTATTTACATTATTTACATTATTCGGACTGTTATCCTGATCTTCATTGCCATATTCACAACGTTTTGGCCGTTATACGCTTCGGCTTCAAGGACAAATGGCCCAGTGGATAAAAGCCGTTGGTAAGTCCAGTGACTAGACCCAAATAGTTGTGAGTTAAATACCAGGCTACAGCAGGGATGAACCAAAAAATAGGACAGCTGAGTTACAGGGAAATAACTGAGACATACAGAAGAGGCATGGCAGGTGGAACTAGAACAATCTACCCCGGTGGACGAAATAAAGGGTTTGGTTCGAAATTTTAATCACCTGAAGAAGGGCGGGGCGTATAACGGCCGAAACGTTGTGAATATGGCAATGAAGATGAGGATAACACTCCGGATACTGTAAATAATCCAAATAATCATAATACCTCATCTCAGAGATCCAATCACCTGAAGAAGACCGGAGCGTACAACGACCGAAGCGTTGTGAATATGGCAATGAAGATGAGGATAACAATCCGAATAATGCAAATTTATGTATTTTATGAACAGTGATATTTCAACTTGCTTATGTATTTCTAAAATTTGATGTATTTTTTAATTAATTTTTAAATATCTGTAATTTCGATGTAAATAGTGCATTTCTTAATTATTTCTCTATACAGCCTGGAAGAAAGAATTACTGGTGGTGGGTTTCCACTGTCACCAGACCTGATGCCGTATGGTTTTATAGTCTTGTAAATGATCAAAGAAAATGTTTATAAGACAGAGCCAAAAAGAATTTAACGGTTGAAAGAAAGAATACCAACAAACATTTGATAAAAGGCACACTAGTTTAGAAAAAAAGAAAGAAAAGAATTTGCCATCCTATATATAAAATATATCAGTTAAGCTTTACGTAAGAAGGTTACCATTTTGAATAATTTTGATTTAATTTGATTTTCAATTTACTTCCTTAGCACCCTTAATAAAATAATATTATGGTAAAATACATACATATGGTTGACTAAAAGCTGCATTTACGGGACATTCACAGGAATTGAATTCTTTGGCAATAGCCGGCAAAATCATATTACTAATCGTCTCTCGATACAAACACTTATAATAAATACAGAGTACGATGAGTGAATTGTCGCCATTTTATATTTTTAATTTCACGCATGCGCGTTGTTTGTTTTTGATTTCGTTGACTGCACAGTATAGTAGTAGAAATTTGGAAACGGTATGCTGTATTGCTTGGAATTGGTGTTGTTTGGCGCCTGGGTCAAAAGGGTGGCTGCTGGAAGACCTATGTCTGGTAGCAAGACTCTGCACCTTGCCACACAAGCAGGAAAACCTAGTCATGGCTGTCAGATAATTTCTGCAACCACATCATCCCTTACATTTGGCCACCTAACTCCCCAGACTGCAATCCCCTTGATTATTATGTGTGGAGGGAAGTTGAGCGAGAGACCAACAAAACTGCTTGTAACATTATAGATGAACTGAAGGCAAGGATTATGACAGCATTCACCAACTTAAACAAGGAGACTGTCCAGATGAGTTGAAGAAGATTCCGAAGTCGTCTGGTGGCCGTAGTTAAAGCAAATGGCAATTTTATTGCATAAATTTATTCTTAGATAGTTTTTTTGTAATTTTGGTAAATATATCTGTTAATATGGAGCATGTGGAAAACGAGAAGGTTTTAAGAAAAATGGTAACAAAAAGGATGCATATTGAAATTTCTCGCTCGTATAATGAGAATTTGACACACACACAGAGGCCATATTGTAGGTAAGACGGACAAAGAGAAATGGTGAATAAATTATATGAATTTGTGTAGTGATTTTCCAAGCGTAGCTCAGATGCGGCACAAGGCCGAAAGTATGGGGTACCCAGTGAGGATCGAACTCACTACTCAGTCGTAATAGTTCTAGCGAGACAAGCTTGTTAACCATTACACCACCTCGAGGTGCCCAATGAGCTTGTGTAAATGGAAGTCAAAACAAGTGAATAGAAAGTGTAGGGAGAAAACAAACTTTATTAAAGGTTGCAAAGAATATCAAGTTGTGGAGAACTTTGATCGTCCATAGAATAAGGAGGAGGAGGAGGAGGAGGAGGAGGAGGAAGAGAAGAAGAAGAAGAAGAAGACTCCTCATCTTTATTGTTTTGGTCACTGCGTTGAATGCTTCAGAGATTTTAAATGATATTTATAATCTTTTAACTTTTCTCTGTTGTTTTAAATAATCTATCCAAGGCGCGTTGGGAGAGCGAAAGATGCCTTCCAAAAGCTAAGCAAAATATCAGAAACAGAAAAAAAAATTCGTTAGAAACAAAGAAAAGAGTACTGAATATAATTAATGTCAGTCCTCTTATATGGCAGTGAATGCTGGACAATCTCCTCACAGATAAAGAAGAGACTTGAAGAGACAGAGATGTGGTTCTACAGAAGGATGCTGATAATATCATGTACCGGACAGGTGAGGAAGGACAATTTAGAGAAAATTGGAAACAAAAAGGACACTTATATTTAACAGCGGGAAGAGACAGTTGAAATTTCTAGGGCACCTCATGAGGAAAGAGGGCTTGGAAAATTTGATACACACAGGACATATTGAAGGCAAGAAGGACAGAGGAAAACAACGCATTTTTGTGATAGTCTATATATCGATACAAGGTTAGATGCGGAGAATCCCAACTAGGGAAAATCTCACAGCCAGATACGCTTAGGCACGTAATAGTGGCGCGCTCACAGTCATTGACATCTCTCTTTTACCGACTTGCCCAATCCAATTTACACGACAAATAACCAATTCTTCCATTCTCTCTCGTTTGACACGAACAGCACTGAAAACTGAAGGAGTCTCTAATTGATTTACACCAAGTTTATCAACTTTCTTCTATAGCTGATCCCCTCCATCCCTGCCCACAACTGTCTTTGTGTCAGTTCTACACAACTAAAACGAGTTGAAGACTATCAAGACCACATTAGAGCCCCAACGAACGAGAATAGTTTTGATTATCTCAGTTGCGAGATGTTTCGGTTTGGCGCATGCGTTCAAGTGATTATGCGTCGTTTCCGGTGTATGGAATGTTACAGGCTGCGCTTGCGTATCTTTCAAATTCAATAAAAAGAACCTCGCCGTTTTTTGTTTCTTTTTCCATATTGAATACTGTTGCCATATCTGGTTTGGTACCCCTGCTATTCATCTCGAGGTTTTTGACAAGATCTAAAGAAGGATCTGCAATGTAATCGATCCTGACCTGGCATCTCGACTTCAGTTACTTTCTCACCGGAGTGTCGGGGCTTCCCACTGTTGTTTCTGCAAATATTTTCATGGCAACTGCTCTGACGAGCTTTTTCCCCTGATACCCCGACTACATGAATTTAAGCATGTTACTAGATTGGCATTTAGGTCCCACCCTTTTACTGTTGAAATAGTTAAATGTAACCACCACTTCTACTTCAACAGTTTCTTTTCTCGCACTTCCCGCCTGTGGAACTCCCTACCGTTTACTTGTTCCCCTGAAAACTACAGTCTTCAAAAATTTAAATGCAATGTCAGTCGACATCTGTTGTCTTGAACACCGTTCTTCTTTTAACTGTTTCTCAATACCCACTATATTCAGTCTTTTCTCTCAATTTCACTCTCTTTAAGCTCTTGCGTACTAGAGGCATTCCCGCCTTGCTTGGGGTGAAATGATTTAAAAGAAATTGTTTCGAAAATAAGTCTTTTAATATTTGGAAACATTCAAAGCTTATATTGTTTGTTTTTTTACAAAGCTTCCTTTAAAAGAAAAATCTTCGAATTTCGAATTCCCGAAGTTAAGAAGCTCTTCGCAAATCCTCCGTGTAATGACACAGTTGAAGTATGAATGACCAAAACTGAGAAAATCTTATATTACTTATAATGAGATTGAATGCATAAAGGAATAATTTTTCCGGAGCAAATATAGCAACAGTATTTCATTTTTGGCTTGATCTGGTTTCTGTAAATGTAAAATATAGCAAGGACAAGGCGTTGGTTAGATCCAGTGACAGAACCCAAAGAGTGTAAGTTCAATACCCGGTTAAGGCAGGGGAGAACTTGGATAGGGGAATTAACAGGAGATAACTGATATCCATTAAAAACATGACACGTGGAACTAGTGAGCGAAATAAAGGTTTCACTTCGACTTTCCAACCACCTGAAGAAGGCCGAAACGTTGTAATAAATATGGCAACAAAGATGAGGACAATAGTCCGAATAATGTAAATAGTGAACATTATCGACCATTAGAAATTTATATTTCACATTGCTCCCAGGTCTTTTGAACAAGAGTAGAAGTTTATTCCTGTTTAGGATTGGGTTTCAGATTCCTTCTGAATGTAAATAGTGTACATAATACCTCATCTCAGAAATATAAACAGATACTGATAGCACGAAGAGTCAGGTACTTACTGGAGCGGCACAGGGAGCCGGCTATTTTACCTGCATCTTTTAGCAATGGATGTACGGGTTCCACTTGAGCTCAGGTGTGAGTTTGCGGCTCAATAGTCTTTCAATAGTCTTGCCGGCTCGAGTTGACATCCGTACATCGTGACTGGGGTCCGATCGGCGATGATAGAATGTAACTATTTTGGTTTGTGAGGCAATGAATGTAACCTGACAGTTTTTATCTGATCTGGTGGTTTGTGATTATTTAATAATATATTGTTACGATGTGATATAAAGTTGTCTATATTTCTAATGTAACTGATCACTGTTTATTTTTGTCAAAAAACCCCAAAAAACTTTTGAATTTTAAAAAAATGTTTATCTAACAGTTTGATTGGAAGAGAGGTGCCGATATGGCTGTATGCTAATGAGTAGTTTAGATGCTTTAAAGATTGGGAGAGGGGGAGAGATGGAAATAAAACTGTATAAAGCAACTTAGTAAACAAAGCTCTCTCTCTCTCTCTCTCACTCTCTCTCTCTCTCTCTCTCTCTCTCTTTCTACTTCATAATTGAAACTTATTGGCACAACTCGCTTTGCGACGCGCATGCGTTGTAAGCATCATCCGGCTTTCAGTTTCCGGAATGAGGTCTTTTGTGATGTTTCCTCTCGCTAATCAAATCAAACCGAACTTTAACTCGATCGAGTCCCGCCTACTGACCACAATGGAGCCACAACACATCACCGATGATTCTCATTGCTCCTCGTCTTCTGGTCATTTATCTCCTTAGACAATCAAAGTTATTTTCCAGCTTAATGGTTGTGAAAGCGGATTGAAACCCTGGAGGTCGGGAGCTTTGTTGACCCCTAATTCTAATAGCGTTACCACGAACGAAAATTCACCCATTAATTATGGGCGTGATGACAGTCTTTTTTTTAAAAAAGGAATTGATATTATTTTAGGTGTCTGTAAAAATTACCAGAACCCCCCCTTTCTCTCCTTATTTAAACGAGAGTTTAAATACACAAGAGAAAACCGATTTTTATTTAAAACAAACAGAATTTATTTTAAATACAGACGAAATTGAGAGTATGGCAAAATTTTCCCCCTCCCAAAAACAAAACAAAAAAAAATTAATATCTATCAGAAAATAATCATCATGTGAGCAAAATCCTTGTGCGTTTTGGTGTTTATATTTATATTTATATATATATATATATATATATATATATATATATATATATATATATATATATATATATATATATATATCTCAGAGATATTAGCACGTAAGTAAATGTAATGGATTCGACTGGAATTCGAACTCAGCTCTCCGATTCCTCATTCGAGCTCATCCTCTTAATTATATATATATATATATATATATATATATATATATATATATATATATATATATATATATATATATATATATATATATATATATATATATATATATTAGAGGATAGGAGGATATATAATTTAGGAGTTCGAATTCCAGTCGAATCCATTACATTTACTTACGTGCTAATACCCTTGGTAAAGAGGAGAATAGACCGGTTTCTATAGCCTTGGGTGACAACTGGTCTACGGCAGAAAGAAATGGCAACCTACTGCGGCAAAAAATCTGCCTCGTCAGTCATGTATCGAAAGATGCATGAGCGCCTAAGCGTTTATCACACATGGCACATAACTGACTAACTGGTATATATACAATTTAAATATAAAATAACAAAACAGCCATTCCTCAGTCATCGTCTTGGTCGTTAAACGAGCTGGCCGGTAAGTGAGAAGATGTAGCTGACCGCTATTTCAAGCATAATTCATGTGTAATGGGTTTGTGTCAATCAGCTTCAGATAGCTTTAACGTCACTTTAGTTAGAATCCTTTCTAACATGTCTAAATTATTTCTAAACGTTTATACATTATGCAGTCGTGCACTGAATTGTAAACGTAATAAACCAATTCGAAAATCAGCTCTATATTCTGTACATTATTTCCGTTTGGGTATTGTAAATGTAGTACAAGTAAATTTTTGTCTATTTTTCACTTTATTCATTCAATTCATTTTTCACTTTATTCATTCATTTTATTTCTTACCTTATTCATTCATTTCATTTTTTACTTTATTCATTCATTTTTCACTTTATTCGTTCATTTTATTTTTCACTTTATTCATTCATTTTATTTTTTACCTTATTCATTCATTTCATTTTTTACTTTATTCATTCATTTTATTTTTTAGTTTATTCATTCACTTTTCACTTTATTCATTCATTTTATTTTTCACTTTATTCATTAAATTTATTTTTTACTTTATTCATTCATTTTTATTTCTTACCTTATTCATTCATTTTATTTTTCACTTTATTCTTTCAATTTATTTGTCACTTATTCATTCATTTCATTTTCACTTTATTCATTCATTTTATTTTTCATTTTATTCATTCAATTTATTTTTCACTTTATTTATTCATTTTATTTCTTACCTTATTCATTCATTTTATTTTTTACTTTATTCATTCATTTTTCACTTTATTCATTCATTTTATTTTTTACTTTATTCATTCATTTTATTTTTCACTTTATTCATTCATTTTATTTCTTACCTTATTCATTCACTTTATTTTTTACTTTATTCATTCATTTTTCACTTTATTCATTCATTTTATTTTTTACTTTATTCATTCATTTTATTTTTCACTTTATTTATTCATTTTTCACTTTATTCATTCATTTTATTTTTCACTTTATTCATTCATTTTATTTCTTACCTTATTCATTCATTTTATTTTTTCACTTTATTCATTCATTTTGGAGAAAGAGAAAACAATCATGATCAAATTTTCCTACGACATACATTACTGAATTGCTGGATGAAGAAAATTATTTGTTTCATGATTTTTATGACTGGTCATAAATTTGGGTGGTCATAAATTTGGGTGGTCATTTAACAATTTAACTGAGGTGTCGCTGTTTTTTTTTTTTTTTTTTTTTTTAAATAAAACAACTTGCGATTAATTTTTTTTTATATTTCCAACAAGTATTTTTAAGTTCCTGTCTATATTTTATTTTAAAGAAAGTAAAGTGACATTAACCTTATATAATAATCGGTTCTTGCTATTACCTAAAAAATAATCTAGTTGGCATCCGTTTATCTCGAGATAAAAGTAGTACCCTGTTTGGTCAAACTTCATTCTTTTGGTGGGGAGATTGGAGTGGCCTTTCTATGGTGTAGGCCAATGGATGCGCATGCGCTGCCCTGATTAAAAATAATCTCGTAGTGTGGAAATAAAAAGGTGAGCTGGAATAAATGGATGGCAGAACAAGGTACAGTAGAAATAGCAAAAAAAAAAAAAATTATTAAGAGTTGCAAAGGACAGGAAACTGTGGAGAGCCATGACCGCCTACGATGGCATAGGGCCATGGCATGAAGAAGAAGAAAAAGTCTACTGAACAATAGACCTAAACCAATTTGAAAATCAGCTTTATATTCTATGCATTATTTCGGTTTGCATATTGTAAATACAGTACAAGTAATTTTTATTTATGTTAAATTTTACTCATTCATTCATTTGATTCATTCGTTTAAGTCATTCATTTGATTCAGGCATTTTATTCATTCATTTCATTCATTCATTCATTTCAGTAATTCATGTGAGTTATTCATTTTAATCATTCATTTGACTTATTCATTGAAGTCATTCATTTTATTCATTCATTTGATTCATTTATTTATTCATTCGTTTAAATCATTCATTTGATTCATTCATTTGATTCATTCATTTGATTGATTCATTCATTTGAGTTATTCATTTTAATCATTCATTTGACTTATTCATTTAAGTCATTAATTTTATTCATTCATTTGATTCATTCATTTTATTCATTCCTTTGATTCATTCATTTGATTCATTCATTTAATTCATTCATTTGATTGATTCATTCATTTCATTCATTCATTTAAGTTATTCATTTTAATCATTCATTTAACTTATTCATTTAAGTCATTCATTTTATTCATTCCTTTTTTTTATTAATTCATTCATTTGATTCATCATTTGATTCATTTATTCATTCATTTATTCATTTGTTATTCATTCATCATTCATTTCTTATTCATTAAGTCATTCATTTGATTCATTCATTTATTTAATTTATTTTGTTTAAGTCATTCATTTCATTCATTCATTTGAGTTATTCATTCATTTATTCATTCCTTTGATTCATTCATTTGATTCATTCCTTTTCATTTCATTCGTTTAAATTATTTTGATTCATTTGATTTATTCATTTCATTCATTCATTCATTCATTTGATTTATTCATTTTAATCATTCATTTGTTTATTCGTTTAAGTCATTAATTTTATTCATTCATTTGATTCATTCATTTAATTAATCCATCTTTGATTCATTTTCATTCATTCATTTTTATTCATTTTTTCATCATTTTTTAAGTCATTAATTTTATTCATCCATTTGATTCATTCATTTTTCTTTCTTTCTTTCATTTTTTGATTCATTCATTTCATTCATTCATTTTTATTCATTTTTTCTTTCTTTTTTTCAATTCATTTTATTCATTCATTTGATTCATTCATTTTCTTTCATTCATTCATTCTTTTCATTCATTCATTTCTTTCATTCATTTGACTTATTCATTTTTCTTTCATTTTTATTCATTCATTCATTTGATTTTCATTTCATTCATTCTTTGATTCTTTCATTCATTCATTTCATTCATTCATTTTTTATTCATTTCCCTCATTCATTTATTCATTCATTCATTAATTCCTTTGATTCATTCATTTGATTCATTCTTTCATTCTTTCTTTCATTCATTTCCTTCTTTTCATTCATTCATTCTTTCATTTTCTTTCATTTTTTTTCCTTTGATTTTCATTTTTCATTCATTTGATTCATTCATTTCTTTCATTTGATTCATTCATTTTTATTCATTTTAATCATTCATTCATTCATTCATTTTCTTTCTTTCCTCCTTCATTTTTATTCATTCATTCATTTAATTCATTCATTTTTCATTCATTCATTTTATTCATTTCTTTTTCATTTTAATTCATTCTTATTCATTTAAGTCATTTTTTATTCATTCATTTGATTCATTCATTTTGATTCATTCTTTGAGTTTTCATTTTTCTTTCATTTCTTTTCATTTGATTCATTCATTTCATTCATTTCATTCATTCATTCATTCATTTTCTTTATTCATTTTCATTCATTTTATCATTTCATTCATTCTTTCTATTCATTTTTCATTCATTTTGATTGATTCATTTCATTCATTCATTCTTTCTTTCTTTCATTCATTCTTTTCTTTCATTCATTTAATTTTCTTTCTTTCTTTTGATTCATTTTTCATTCATTATTCATTCATTTCATTCTTTCTTTTTTCCTTCTTTTTTCATTTTCATTCATTCATTTCTTTTATTCATTTCATTCATTTTTTTCTTTCATTCATTAATTTCTTTTTCATTCATTTGATTCATTCATTTGATTTTGATTCATTTTTCTTTCATTCATTCTTTCATTTTTCTTTCATTTGACTTTTCACTCATTCATTTTTTTTCTTTGATTCATTCATTTTATTCATTCATTGATTCATTTCGTTTAAATTTTCATTTGATTCATTTTCTTTTTCATTTCATTCATTCATTCATTCATTCTTTGAGTTTTCATTTTTCTTTTCATTTCTTTCATTTAAGTCATTCTTTTATTCATTCATTTGATTCATTCATTTTCTTTCATTCATTT